ATCAGGCTGATAGTGTCGAGAATGAATTGGTGGTATCTAGTAATTAGAGGCAGGGTCATTGCAATGGTACAGATGAGAGATGAAGAGGTTTGGTGTAGAACATTGTAGCAAGAATGGGTTTGAGATACAAAATTCATTTTTCTTTTCAGCTTAGGAAGTTTTTATTGGCTTAAGTTTAACTCACTGATTCTTTCCTCATCCCTGACCAGTATACTAATGAGCCCATCAAAGACATTCTTTATTTCTGTTACAGTGTTTTTCATTTCTAGCATTTTCTTTTGATTATTTCTTAGTGTTTCCATGTCTCTGCTTACCTTGCCCATCTGTTCTTGCCTATTGTCCACTTTTTCTGTTAGGGCCATTAGCATATTAATCATAGTTATTTTTAATTCCTGATCTGAGAAGCCCCAAGTCTCTGCCATATCTGAGTCTGACTCGAATATTTTCTTTGTCTCTTCAGGTTGTGTTTTTTGCCTTTTAGTATTTCTTGTAATTTTTTGTTGAAAGTTGCACATAGTGTATTGGGTAACATGAACCGATGTAAATAAGCCTTTAGTGTGAGATTTTATGTTTATCTAGTTAGGAATTTTACTGTGCTCAAGGTTTGCTGTAGCTGTGGTGTCAGAGGCTGAAATTTCCTCTCGTATCCTTGTTTTTGTCTCTCCTGTTGTCTTTGTGTTTCCCTAGAGACTCCTTCAAAAATAGGGTCCAAGGCTTGTAGTTTTTTTACCTGTGATCTCCTGTTATTATACAGGAGCCCTATTGATGTGATGGTAAAGTGTAGGGAGAAGGGAAGTGTCCTATAGTTCTGTGATTAGGTCTCTTTTTCTTTTCTTAATGAGCCTGTAACCTTGTGCTGTGACCTGCAAATGTCCTTCTCAGTTCCCTTCTCCTCTTTCAGAGGAAACAAGAGGGCTAAACATGGCTATAATCTGGTATTTCCCTTCCCCCAGAATGGTTAAGTTCTGGTGAAATCTAGGTAGTTTAGGTTCTGGTAAAACAGTTTCCCTTGAGGGTAGGCCACTGTTAAAGAGAATGGAATGCTCTGGGCTTAGTCCAAAATGCTTACTTTTTCCCTCCCCCTGATTGAAGCGAGAGGATCTCTGATCTTCGCCTTGAGAACATGGCAGAGCTCCTGGAGGTATAACTCATGAAAGTGTGGGGACCCACATAAGGCTGGGCCCCCAATTTTTCCCTCTTAAGGCACATCCTGTCTCTAGCAATGTCAGTTACCCTTTGAGTGTTCCCAACAGGCTCCAGCACTGGCTTCTGCTCCCAGGAGCTGCGATCCTCCATATTTGCGTATTTCTCCAGTTTTGAGGGTAACAGTTTGCCCTGTGGCCTCAATTCTCTGATGGAACTAAGAAGAGGTATTGATTTTCAGTTTGTTCGGGCTTTTTCTTGTTGTGAATGTGGGAGTGATAACTTCCAAGCTTTTTACATGTCAGACGGGGAAACAGAAATCCCCTCCTTGTTTTTCTTAGTAGGAAAAAACAAAATAAAACATTTGAATTAAAAAATAGCTGGCAATTTTGTTCCATTGCTGGAAATTCCTGTACTCAGTTGTTTTTTGCTACAAGTATCCTTCTAGGATCTACTTTCTTCAGGGGTTAAGCTTGGCTAAATCTACTTAGAATATTAATGTTTAAATGTTTCATGGCACTGAGTATAGGTTGCCACCATAGACCCTTCCAGGGACTTTAAAATCCCTGGCTCAGAGGATTACTCTTCATTTCATTAACACTCAGTTGCCATTAACCTCCATCAACAAATTCTGTTGACTCTGCCTACAAATTACACACACAATCCCACCTCTTTTCCCATCTCTGCTGCCTTTATAATAATCTAATCCATTGGGGCACCTGGGTTGTGCAGTTAGTTAAGCATCTGATTTTTGGTTTCAGCTTAGGCTGTGATCTCAGGGTGGTGAGGTTGAGCCCTATGTTGGGCTCTGCATTCAGCAGGAAGTCTGCTTCTCTTTTTCTCTCTCTCTCTCCCTCTTCTCCTCCCCACTCCATGTGCGTGCTCTCTCTCTCTATCTCGCTCTCTCAAATAAATAAATAAATCTTTTAAAAAATAATGTAATCCATTAAATAGCTCTCTTATAATATTGTAGTAGTCTCTTAGTTGGTTCTTGCTGCTTCCACCCTTGTTCCTCTTGTCTATTCTCAACACAGTAGTCAGAATATTAGGAAACCAGAGTGATCTTTCTAAATTTTTTTCTCATCTTGTCACTTCTCTGCTCAAAATCCTCCAGTGGCTCCTATCTCACTCCATGTAAAATCCAGAGTCATTGCCATGGCTCCTAAGGCTCTATGATAGTCTGCCTCTCTGTCTTTATGTCCATCTGTTCCTTGCTCACTCCATCTGCAGGGACCTCCTTTGTATTAGTCTCCTAGAGCTGCCATAGCAAAATACCACAGACTGACCGGCTTAAACAATAGAAATTTATTTTCTCAGAGTTCTGGAGGCTGGACGTGTGAGATCAAGATGCCACCAGGGTTGGTTTCTTCTTTGGCCTCTCTCGGCTTACAGACAGCTGCCTTCTTGCTGTGTCTTCACATGGCCATCCTGCTATGCACTTACATCCCTGGTGTCTCTTCTTCTTCTTACAAGGGAACCAGTCGTATTGAGTTAGAGCCCCTCCCTAATGGCCTCATTTTAATTTAGTTGCCTTTTTTAAAGGCTTTTATCTCCCAATACAGTCATGCTCTAAGAGAATTAGACCCTCAAATGAATTTTGAGGGGACACAGTTCAGTCCATAGCATCCTGCTGACATTGAACGTACCAGGTGTACTCCAGCCTCTGGGTATTGTACTTGCTCCTTCCTCCCAGGGAACCTGCTTCCCACTGAGTCCTATCGCTTCCTCCCTCATTTCCTTTAGGCTCAGAGTGCCCTTTAGGCACCACCAGATATTAAGTAGTGACTTCATCCTTCTGCTCCCCATCTGCCCCCCACCTTTGTTTTTCTCCAAATGTAATGCTTGCTTATTATACTCCAAATTTATTTCTGTATTTATTTCCTATTTACCTGTGCCGCTATACAAGCTGGTATATAAGGGCAGACACTATGTGTTGTGTCTCTGCTACGCCCCAGTGTCTAGAGCGGGGGTAGGCGCACAGAAGGCACTCGCACATGTCTGTTAAATGAGTGCCTCACTCAGTTATGTTCTGCCTTCTGGCTGGGATTGCCAGGCACTCCCATGTAGGAAGCCGTGGAAATAGGTTTCCATCTGGAACATGCTATAGCCTTCCTGGCTGTAGACTTTGTCCTTTGTCCATTTTGGAATGGAAGCCCAAATTAGCAGCTGTACTGGTGTGTCCCAAAATGGCCTTGCCCCAGACATGCTGATGCTTATACTTGGGTGAATCCCTGCTGACTTTTGTTTTTAAGTTGTATTCATGTGACCAGAGTCCAGCTAGCATTAGCAACCTGCCTACCAAATCAGGAGGCATTTTGTATTAGTATAATACAATTTGGGTGGTAATGTTCCCAAATGTCCCATTGTATATGATAAAAATAACTTTTTTCCTTGGGAACTGTGCAATACACCTGGAACACCCAGGAGTGTTTGACATGTCAGGTTATTTTATTTTTACATTGACCTTAATTTTATCAACTTTTTCCCTGCATTGGTAAAACCCAAGATTCCAAGATTTAGTATAAAATTATAAATAATAGACAATATTTTTCTTGCATTTTATAAAGCAATTAAAACACTATTAGTAAGAGATATAACAGCCCTGACAACTAACTTCTCACTGGCTGGTTTATTAAATTTTATTCTGTATAAAGGTCCTTATACCTTATACTTGGAGGCTTTTAGAATCCAAGACCCCAATGTATGTCATTCATACCTACCTACAAAGTTGCAATTACCAAGATCAGGGAGGCTAGCTTGGCTGACTTTTCAGTTCTTGAATGGTGATGCTCCTGTACCACAGGACCTTTGCACTTGCTGTTCCTGCTGACTCAGCCCCTCTCTTCTCTACTGTTACCCCTTAACTGAGCTTTCATTCTTTAAGACTTCATCCTTAAGGCTCCTCTTTTATTGATTTATGTTTCCTTGTTATTTCCTTTATAGATTTGGAATTATATAATCATGTATTTTATTATTTGATCATTATCATTTTTGTCCTTTGTCCTCATTCCCTAGCACTGGACCATATAAATTATTTGTTAAATGAATAATTAAAGACTTGATATGTTGAATCCCTGACCAGTGTTATTTCCCTCTTTTCCCCTCTGAAGTCCTTCATGGCCATGGTGATATGTGTCAGAGGATCAAAACTGAAAACAGACTTGGAAGAAATCTGCCTTTCAGTGAGCTGGTGAGATCATCTGAATGGCCATAATTTCTTAAGACCGATGAGCTACATGGTATTAAGTCTCACATAAAGTGTCGGTTATAAAAGCCATGAGAATATATGTATGCTGCATAAGTGGACATGAGTTCTGTATGAGAACATGACTGAGAAGACCAAAGTTTAGTTAATTATTTTGGCAGAGGGGTCAGTTCTGCTGAGAGCCTGGTGCTTGGGGCCCCACTCTGTATATGGTAAGAACAAATAAAAGGTAAAATGTATGAGTAATGAATGTATACTAGGGGCTGCCAAGAATATTTTACGTATATTGCCTCATTAAGTTCTTAGGACTCTATAGGTTAGACTCTACTGTTGTCACATTTTGCAGATGAAGACACTGAGGCTCAGAGCTGTTAAGTAACTTGTTCATTGTTATGAGTACTAAAACACAGACCTGGAATTTGGACCAGGCAGTTCTGGGGGTAACTTTTTAGTACTTTACGTTTTATTCAGTGATGTGCTAGTAAATAAGCTTTCAAACAAAACAAAACTAAACTGATTTATCAATTCCTGTGTTATAAATATTCCCACTATGGCTGATTTCAACATACCAATAGTTTATGGCTTGCAATTTTTTTTAAGTTAAACAATTGCTGGTTAGCTTGTTTTAGCACACCATGCATTCATTCCCTCTGGAGTTTCCCCTTCATATCAATTATCCCATTTGCTTTTCTCACAATATGATGAACTATATGGAACCAGTGGGATTAACCTCAGTGTCCTGATCTTTTCAGTGGGCGGATGGCATTTCCAGTTCCCATTGCCAGTAAGTGATGGAGTTGAATGAGGGGCACTCTCTCTCTCTTACTGACACTCCTGCCTCTCCACATGCATGACCTCTTCCACCATTAGCATCACCCATCAGAGTGGGACATTTGTTTACAAATCAGTGAATCTGCACTGACACATCATAATCACTCAAAGTCCATAGGTTACATTACAGTTCCCTTTTGGTGTGGTACATTCTATGGGTTTGGGCAAATGTATAGTGACCTGTATCTATCCTTATGGTATTCTATAGAGTATTTCCACTGCCCTGAAAATTCCCTGTGCTCTGCCTGTTCATCCCTCCTCACCATGCCTAACCCATGGCAGCCACAGATCTTTTTTACTGTCTCCAAAGTTTTCCTTTTCTAGAAGGTCATATGATCAGAATCATATAGAATGTAGCCTTTTCAGATTGGCTTCTTCCACTTAGTGATATGCATTTAAGTTTCTTCCATGTCTTTTCATAGCTTGACAGCTCATTTCTTTTTAGTGCTGAATAATATTCCATCATCTGGATTGTACCAGTTTATTTATCCATTCACCTAGCGAAGGACATCTCAGTTGCTTCCAAGTTCTGGCAATTACGAATAAGCTGCAATAAACATCTATGTGCAGGTTGATGTGTGCACATAAGTTCTCCACTCCTTTGGGTAAATACTAAGAAGTGCTGTTACGGGATTAGTACGGTAAGAGTATGTTAGTTTTCTAAGAAACCACCACCTAACTGTCTTCCAAAGTGACCATACCGTTTTGCATTCCCATCAGCAAAGAATGAGAGTTCCTGCTTCTCCACGTCCTCACCAGCATTTGGTGTTGTCAGTTGCAGATTTGGGTGGTGAAATGATTTTAAGGGAACTCTGTCCCATTTAAATGGAGTGTGAAATGACCCAAGCTTCTTGGATGATGGTTTGTCAATATATTTTAAGTGGCAAAAATATTGAGAGCTCTTGAAGGAACACTTCCATGTCTAGAAATGTACTTAAGGAAATAATTTTGTAAATAAACATTAAAAAATGCTCCACAAGGATGTTGATCACTAGGCCTGGGTAATGAGAGAGAAGAGCACTTTGGGGTAAAGGGAGGGGTCTGGACCAGAGCCTGGCACCAGTGCAAATGTAAAGCTGCCGTGCGTCTTTGCCTTACGTACATTAAGATTTGTGTCTTTTTTTTTTTTTAAGAAAATATTCTAAAATGAAGGAAAAAGTAGTCTTTTTTGGATATAACAACTGTGAGATAATTGATCTCTCTGATATTTAAACACTTATGCTCTTTATTACGTTGGCTGCTTGGGGACAAGAATAGCCAGCCTCTCTGTGGTGCCCAGGGTGTGCCTCACGTAGCATCAGAGGGGCTCGGTTCATTCCAGAGGGCAGTTTGGGGCTGGTCACTGTTGCTTCCTGGGAAAACCTCAAGCATTGCTTTGGCTTGCATTACTCTCTTTCCCTCTCTATCCGTATCTTCTGAGATCTGTGTCAATTATAAAGTAATTAAGAGAAATCTCATTAATCTTGCTATAAAAGAATACTTTTGAATGTCTTATTTTCCATTTCTCATGTTCTACCTGAAAACATAGAATTAACGGAGAGGCCAGTCATCAAGCAAGGAAAATGGGGCTCACGCTGAGGGCCTGTTTCCGGCTGGAACAGGGGACTTGGAATCAGAACTGGTCCCCAAAATGTGCAAAGGAGAAGGAAGGCCTACCAGGGACATTATCACCTAGGAAACATGAGTAGGTTTCTCTTTCAGTACTTCAACATGGGATGCCAGCCCCGAAGCTCCCCTTACAGGCTGTTCCTCCTCTGCCCCTGACCACCCATGCAGGATTCCCTTGTAACAGGAGGGTAGGGGAGTGGAACCAGCACACCCATGCAGGGTATGTGCAAAGAGACATCTTTCGCGATGGAAGCTGGCTCCCTGTCATCTCATAATACATTTTTTCCTGCTGGTTCTCACTCACAGTATTTACAGGAAGCATTTATAGCAAATACTTGCCAAGTGTTTTCCATAAACACAACTAAGGACATTTTTCACACACTCCAACAGCTCTGTAAATGTTTGTTTTCACAATGCACAGAGAAGGTGAGTGTAGTTTCCCTAAACAGACCTTTGAAGTGTGGGCTTTGGCCCAGTGAGAATTTGCATCTGAATTGGCTCTTCATGGTGGACACATCTCCCTGGGGGCACATCGGGTACTTGCAGAAGACTCAGTTTCGAGAGGAGTTTTCCTCCACAGTTTGGATTCCTTGTGTGGCTAAGTGCTCCAGCTGTGGAGAAGCTTCTGGGTTCTGAGAAGCCCCATGAGGAAGGAAAGGATGAGGTTGGAGGTTGCTGGGAGCATCATGGTAGTCATTGCTGCTGATAAAGTCCACAGGGAAATAGAATGGGGAATATGGATGACAGGGATAAGAAGGTGATTGTAACTCCGTGAAGATGTATGAGAATGTACAGGAAAAAAAAAATTAGGAAAATTCTCATGTTAAAACCAGGCAAGTTGACGCTTGCTGTAAAGGACAGAGATGTCCACTGGGCCCTTGGTGGGCACTGCCAGCCCAGTTAGAGGCCAGAGTTTTATCCTGTGGTATCCATTCACTTGTTTAGTAACTGTCTCATTAATAAGTGCCTAGTGTACGTATGTGTGACTTTGCTACATCGTGAGGGATTCACCGGTGATTGAGATGTGGTTCTCCCCCCTAGGGAAAATAAGACACATATACTTGCCACAATTTGGGGCAGAAAGTGAGAACTGCTATAAGAAAGAAAAAGATAAAGGGCTGTGGGGTTTTAGAGGAAGGAATTGCATATGGTTTTATGAAGAAAGTGACATTGAGTTGGGTCCAAAGGAGAAGGGAAATTTAGACAAATGCTGGAGGGAGAAGGGGGGTGGAGAGATATCAGGGGAAGCAATCTGCATAGAGAGAAACCACACTGGGACCCACCCCTGTAGGAGGGCCACCCCGCAGAAGAGCTCTCTCCTTTCACAGAAGTAACCAAGATTTGGGATGCTTATATAGAATGAGCTGGAATGAGACGGGTTCCATTTAAAAAGCTAGATTTAATAGAAGAAAGATTTCCTTTTCACATTAATTCAAGCAAAACAACGTATGGCCTAATTTGTGAATTGGGTTTCAAAAAATAATTTTCCCGTTGTAGCTAATTTAATATGTGCGTAATCGGAAAAATCAGCATTTTCAAACAGAAAAGGCCAATTGATTATTGTCCAGAAGAAGGCGATAGGAAATAAATAGTTCTCCTCGCCTCTCCATACTCACAAGTCCATTCTCCCCGACCAGAGAGAATTTATAAATCTGTGAGCTAAGTGAGAAAATGAGGTGAGATCTGACTTGCAGGGATTCGTTTTATCACTAGCTCTCCTGGAATGTGTTTGTTTATAGTAAAGCGAGTTATGTCCAAAGATGTTTCAGACAACATATGTGGAGCGTAACTTAGCTTTAAGACTGCAATAACTGTTAAGGCAGTGGTGACAATTTCTCAGTAAGAAATCAGGCTTGAGCAATGTCAAGCCTAATTTTTCATCCAGCAGTGACTGTCAGACAATGCCAACATCTCACTGTCTTTGCATTCCATTGAAGGAGATGGAAGGCATTTGTATTCCGTAATGTAATGTTGAGTGAGTCAAAATTCTGCCCCGTGATCTTGTGATTTATTGCTAATGGTGCCCAACAGGCAGAGGGGCTTCTCTGCCTTCGTTCAGCATCTAAGTTCCAGTTGCAATTAATCTTTATTACATTCCATAGCTCACCTCTGGTCTGGAATGTTAAAAAGATGCCTCGGGAGAGAGTCTGGAATCCATTTCTTCCCCTCCAAGTCTCACCCTCTCTGTGAAGTTGGCTCTGCTTGCCCATTGCATGCCACGTGCACCTTCATCCCAGAAAGTAATACTTCCTTGTAAAAAATGCAAACAATCTAGAAGGAGATGAAAGAGGGACATAGCAAGTGAAAACCTGTCCACCCTCCAAATCCCATCCCCTGCGTCTTCCAAATAGATTACAAGCCTCTAAAGATGGTATTTTGTTCATAGATGTATTTTTAGCAGCTAGCAAGTTCCTTAGTAATAATGAATGCTTACAGAAACGCTTGTTGAAAAAAGAAGAAATAATTGTCCAATGAATGAGTGAATGAGTGAATGAAAGAATCAAAGGGTGGGGACTACAATTCATATGACAGATTTGGGAAGTATAATACCTTGCTTTTCAAAATGTGGTTCTCGGCCCTGCAGCGTCAGCATCCCCTGGGAGCTGGTTAGAAATGCAGGACCTCGGGCTGACCTCAGCCTATTGGATCAGAATCTGTATTTTAACGATATCTTCAGGTGATCCATGCAGTGCTTTAAAGTTTGAGAAGACCTGAGTAGTGTATGTCTACAAAATAATATAAACGTGAGTTTTCACAATTAAATGCAAGGAAGTATATGTGATTTGCAGATAAGCAGTGTGCAGAAAGCCGTTCCTCATCAGTGGATACCGAGGGCTTTGTAAGGACTTCATGCTTTACTCCCCTCACGGGCCCCATTTGGCTGGCTGTCCTTGGGTGTCCTATTAGGACTATTACCCTAGGCCACTTCTGTACCTCTGGTGCCTCTGTCTGGTCAGTCCTAAACCCCAGCTTGGAAATAGAAACACTTTATGCCACCCAAGAAGCAGTTCAAACCACAGCGTAGAAGTTATAAGTCCTGCCTGTAGACTCAGGATGCCGGCGCATCCCATTTCACTGCTAGACAGCAGACACATGACTCAAGCTCCAAGGCATGGTTTCCTCATCTGTAACAAGTAGTCCTGCTTGATGGCCTGTGGGGACCAAATGAGTTAAAGACTTGAGAGTGTGCACATGGTAATCAGTCCATCGGTATTCACTCTTTCTTAAATTGAGGTGAAATTCACGTCATATCAAATAAACCATTTCAAAGTGAATTATTCAGTGACATTTAGTACATTCACATGTTGTGTGAAACACTACCTCTGTGTAGTTGCAAGACATTAATTATCATCATCCCAAAAGGAAACCCCATATCCATTAAGCAATCGCTCCCCTCCCCACCTCGAGCCCCAGGCAGTGACCAATCTGCATCCTCTATGGATTTTAACTCATTAATGACATTTTTTGTAGTCACAGAAAAAAAAATCAGAACAATCAGATTTATTTCTCCTTCATCTACTCTTCTTGCTTTTCACGTCTTTAAAAACAGGAGGTTTTCCATTGATGGAAAATGAGAATATAGATGGGCATAACTTTAAATCAGTGGTTCGTAAAGGGTGGTCCCAAATTAGCAGCATCCACAGTATCTGGAAACTTGTTAGAAATGCACATTCTTGGGTCTACCCCAGAAAAACTGAATTATAACTCTGGGGCTGGGGCCCAGCAATCTGTGGTTTTGATAAGCTTCCAGATGATTCTAGTGTAGGCTCCAGTTAGAGAACCGCTGCTTTCAATAAACCAGATGTTTCCTCTGCAAGCATGTAGCGATGGCTGCAGGTGCCTGCCACGCCCGTGCCGTCCTGTTTCTGGGATGCAGGCATCAGCAGGGGCATCACTCCGGCTCTCCGCTGGCCTTTGGAAGGGTCCACGGAGCTGATGTCTCGGCTTCCCTCAGTGACGCCGGGGTCACTGTGCGGGCATAAACTCACGTCATCCCTGCTCTTATTTACTCTTCCCCTGTTGGTGCTGCCCAACTCCGTACTTGGCGGGAGGACCCTCCGGCAGAGCGTGGTTCCGAGTGCTTGGTGGGTTTCACACATCGTGCAGTGGTTGCGCTCTATCAAAGTGCAGGCAGCGCTTCTTTTTGGTTGATTAATGTTCAATTTGAGGTCTATTATGAACCTTCAGGCTTTAATTACTACACCATTACCCAGTCAATTCCTTGCCATTTTATATTTATGGCTTTTATTATGCCTCTGTATGTGCAATTGCCTAATTTTATTCTGGAAGGATTTCACCTCATTAGCTGGGTTTTATACCATTCTTCTCATTTGTCCAGATTGTTATTTATCTCCGTTCCCCGTGTGCACTTTCTACATTGTTTTCTTCGCTAATCTGACCTCTTCTGCATTCTTTTTCTCCTTTTGCTGGGATGCATTGTTCTTTTGCCCTTGGCAAGAGCTCTTGAAGTTTTTGCACACTCTGCTCTGGGAGTGCTCTTCCCTGGTCACACTCTTGACTCAGTCATTCCATTGCAGCTGCTTTAGTGTCATTGGCCTTGTCCAAAGGCCTTGAGGCCTGCCCTTCAGCCCCGGACATACCATGGACTGCTTTATTATCAGATTTATTTCTTTTTCCACCCAACTTCTGTATGTGAAGGTGTGTAGATGGAGGCTTTTTCTTTCTTTTTTTTTTTTTAAGAGTATGCTGCTAAAAATTATTTTGAAATGTTCTCTGAAATGTTTTGTAACACACCTTCCCTCAATCCCTCCAGTGTCTCAGAGGAATCTGTGGTTTGGTTTACTTGCTTGTGTATTTTGTTCGGTTTCATCTCAGACAGACGGGCCGAATTCAACTCCGAGGGAGCAGCCCCCCAGTCTGCGTCTGGCAAGCTTTTCAATGATCCAGATGCCTAGTCAAGTTTGAGAATCACTGTTCCGAAGAGATGCTGAAAGAACCTTAGGAAATCCATCTAAGTCAGAAATAATATTTATTCCACCCTAGTTCTTCTTTTGCCAAAAAGCAAGATTAATAATCTCTATAACAGTTTTGTTTTGTGTTGTGCTTTTTTTTTTT